AATTTATATTAAATTATTAAATAATGAATTGCCCCGACCGGCCCATAGACTAATCAATCGGCCCAAAAAATGTGGCAGATGCAGCATATGAACCTTCTGCTGCACACCCGTGCGCACGCCTATGACATTCGTGTTCCTAATTTCCAATCTTATTATTAAATGTCAATTATATATCATATTATTTAATATAATATAATAATATAATGTTTACACTATAATAGGGACCCATATGCACCCAACACGAWCGCCATATTATATATACCTATATAGGTATTTAAATTAATTCAAGCATTTTGAATTATACTTGTTTGTTTAATATAATAAATCTAATATATGAAAAATAAATTATCATTTGATCTCAAAATTCCGTTAGTTTTCGTGATCGTGACACCCACGCGTGAACGAAMCCGTGATTATAATGAATAGGAAAAATCTAAACGAATTTATTTTTAAAAAAGAGCACAAAATGCAGGTACCTATATATATATAGGCACTTTTGGCGAATGCAGATGTATAACGACGATATTATACGTTCTACTCGTTCTATAAGGTCAATGATTTATATATTCGACGTAAAAAAATTCGATGCACATACACACAAAACCGAGTTTTTATAATATAATATTCTATATACTATGAAACATTAAAAATATAATGGTTTTTTATTTATTTATTTTTTTTTTTTATAGAACTCGCTACAGATAACAGGAAAAACGAAATGGGTTTCTCTTTAAAAGCTTATAATAATAATATCCTAATCTTTAGATTTTACGCGCATTATTTGAACACCCTGAGTTTAAGGTTATAACAGGAAATTCGAAAAATTACAGACAGAAACTATGAGTCAGTTCTTCGGAGACGCTAATAAATACTTATTATCGGATCCGAATCTCCTGCTTACCGTGTTGGAATCCTTTCACACACATAAATGTATTATCGCCGWAGCAGTGCGCAAGGAACGCACAGATAAAACGACGGTTATCTAACTGTTATCTACCCTACTAAAATGGTGTATCGGACGGAGAAATGGGTTTAGTTGCATTATGGATTTTGTGTGTGGCCATTACAAATGAAATGTAGTGGGAGACTATCTCATGTCAAAACGCGATTGGTATACACTACATTATATATACATATATATATATATATATATATATATATTGTTTGAGTGTGTGTGTATGTGTGTGTGTAGTGCGCGTACCACAGTCGTGTATGTTATAGATTATTTTAAATATATGTGTTGGATTTTTTTTTTTGCTAGAGGTGTATAACGATTACTCATAAAAAAAAAATACTTTAAAAAAATTAACGAGAAAAAAATCTATTCATAATTCAGTGATACGGATGTGAAGTCATTGATTTTCAATTACAAGTTACAACTGAGTATAACGCAATTAAATCGATCGACCAAAGGACCCCACGTCCTTCGGTAGAATAAAATCGTGTAATTATATACAYGTCATAATATGATTAGATAATAAGACTAATATTCGAATATAATATAGATGTATGGGTCCCGCGGACTATAATCGAGTGAAGATAAATGCAAGTTTATTGTGTAATTTGACGGAAAACTAGAAAGTCTCAGTAATCTAACTATATAAATCGTATAATATAAGTCGTTACTCGTCGTTGTTATATACAATATTATAAATTGATATTATTATAATCGATGACCAATAATATTATGAAGCTGTTTCGTCGGAACACAGTGAAAGGTTTTCCGATTTCAACTCCGATGGCTACGTTTTGTCGGCCAAAAGTCGAACACGGTTTAAGAATATTGCACCWATAGGAATTATTATTGATGATTGTTATCAGAGTTATGGCTCCCTATCTTGAGTCGAATTCAAAGCATTATAATTTATATTGTCCTAATCGGTCAAATCTTATCAGTGGCATTTGGAATTCGGCTGGCTGCCGGTGATATTTACCACCTGACTTATCAGTTTTTCCCAGTGATATAGTGGTGGCGGGAAGTGTATTGGCTGTCAAAATCAATATTAATAATCGACTTTATTATATACATATTTTTTACGCCTACCTATATCGACTCCATTATAGTTATTATTTTTTTTACGATTTTGTCTATCTGACAATTAAAAACAACTATCAACTATGAACAAATTTTTCCCTTCCTAACGTAAAAAGGCGTACCTACTTTGTATAGTGTCTAGTTTTCAGTATAACGCGTGTATATTGTATTTAAAATATAATAATAATAATTAATTATACATGAATTGAAATGTATAGACTTCCGTGATTACTCGAGAGATATTCGTTTAATTAGACGCGATCGGAAGTGTAATAAAAATTAATTAAAAATATTATAGTACCTCTAGTTAACAWTCATAATTAAACAAACAAATTATCCACTTTTTATCTGTTATAAATAATAAACATTATATCTATATTCTATATATGCACATTAATGGTAAAATAAGAATTATTTTACGAGTAATTTTTATAATATATGCCGAAAGCTGCAATAATACTAGGTATCGTCAACGTTTTTTTGCAGTTAATTGTATTTACTACTTTTATCTTAGTAAATATTTATAATAATATTATACTTAAATATTTTTAAAGTGCAAGATAACTGTTAATTCTATTATTTTTTTGTATCAGCGCCCAACGTATATATTTGTAGGCTATCGTTAATTACGAGTACTAAGAATTATTATTACCTATATACACATATTTATACAAGATATTATGAATAATAAAATTCAACAAATAAACGAACGTAGCAGTTACCCACAAAAAACGATGATTAACTCAAAATCGGTGTTTTTGTTTACATCTTTTCGGCGTTGTTAAAACACGATACCAGCTGTAATGACTTTAGAGCCGTAAACCGAATCGTAGTAAAACAAAAAAAAGCAAAAAAAAAAAATAAATAAAACGGTATGTAAACATTTCGTTTTCAAGATAATAACATGTACAAACAAACCTCTTGTTGAATGGGGATAAAAAAATTGAACAATATATTAAATAAATATTAATAGCAATAATTTGATGTCAGTGATAAATAAATAATAATTATATACTGCCGTTACAAATGCAAATTGACAGTATTTTGAAATCAAAATCACTTGCTTTTTTTTTTTAACTATTTACTAATACGTAACAATATTTTATTAAAAACCATATTGCTTACTTATGCTTTTGATTGAATGTCGGATCACTTTCACCATCTTTTAATTCGTGTTGTCAAAATCAAAAAATCCAAAGTCAAGATATGTTTGATTCAGTAAAGGACTGCGAAAAATTTTTTTAAAAATGCAAAAACAAAAACAAAGACTCGCGTGACGTGCMACGAGCACAAGACCAATTCAATAGGTTTGTGTTGGCTTGTATGGTCGAAAACGTATTCAAACGACAACTGAGCGCTATGTGCGTGACACATACAATATACGCGGATACCATCTAAGACCACTAGATGCGTCAACTGATTAATMGTAATATTAGTCGTACGCGATAAACTAAAAAAAAAAAAACGATAATGATATAGTAATAATAATCATAATGATAATAATAATAATAATAAAAATTATAGTACTTAGAACGCGCGAGCGTATGATAAAATATTCATCTGAAATAAATAGTAATAAATATAAATCAAAATTTTTTTCTAAAATATGAGCGATGAACGAGTCATGGAAATTGGAGAACAACGCGCGACTACAACACTACGCGTACTGCAAGTATACGTGAAAACCATATGATAATAATAAACRTAATAGTATAATACTAATAATAATTGGTGTGGTTGATTTATTAATTTAGTATCAGTAAATGTTTCTGCGAAGAGATCGATCAAAAACGGAACTTAAATTACAATAATAATACTATCATAATATTATTATTTCGAAATCTGTACTAGTATACAGACAAGGATACGGACACACTCCTATATTATATAACATAAATACATAATAGAACACTGTACGACCGATAGTGTTCCACGCAGAGCTGTAGAATTTTCCATTTTACGAATATTACTATTTGCTATAACTATTGACGTGACGCAGAATACGAGACAYGCGTGTAAACTTTGAACTTCGATTCTGAGTGTCAAAGTCAATGTTTGTATGGTGTTATTATTATTATTATACGATATTATCATTATGAAGGTCTATCATCGAGCGCGTCATTATCGCAAGCCGCCGGCCAACAGAGCTATATAAGCTATATATCACATTGTACAATAATAATATTATTATTATAATACTAGACAAATAACAAGAACAACTACAAAAGCGCCGCGGTCAATATCAGTTTATATTTACAATAGCGTATAAATTATACTATTATATTACTTATATTATTATACTTATATATTTCGTCGTGATGTCAGCACGATAAAACATATAATTCCATAAGCTTCAAATTAATATATAAATATACACATTATACATATAGGCTCTGGGGGGGGATATATCCCCCTTATCCCCCCCTTAATTACGCCCCTGTGTATAATATATTTTTACGAAATAGTGTACCTAATACAACACGGCCGACGACTCTTGAGCGTACAAACGGAATATTATGCGGAAAGATGAGTGTTGTTTTTGCACACTACACACCACTTCAATATAACGGGTCGGTTTCCGAAAGATATTGATATTATATTATTTATATGACGCATCATGTTACTATAATATTATTTAACTCAGACGCGACGCTTTTAAGAGGACGTCACACCCACACGTGTTGTCTTCGACCAACTTAACACATAATAGGTACGYGATGCTAAAATGTACGTTCACCAGTTCCAATTTTGTGTCGTTGGTATTCAATATTATATATGAGTGAATTGAGTGAATTGACTTAATACAATAATTGTTAATAGTTATTAGTTTATTACTTAWTACATATAAAAATGAAAGGACACGTTGGTTTTCAACAACGTTTTCATTTTTAATGGAATTATGGACATGAACTATACGCTTATTAATATTCAAAATGATATCAACTCGCTTAAAAATAAAATCATCGTATATACCTAATTAACGATATTATGTGACGGACTAATCTAATCTAACCTATAACAYTACCGAACGGCTAACGAAATGTGGGAAAATTCTTCCCCCTCCCCCCCTAAAAAAAATATTTTAAATTTGTTTTCCAGAGCATTATCTGTAACGCACCAATTTAGTAAACAAAGATTACTTTTAAAGTATAAGCATTAAATATATATAAAAATCTTCGTTAAATCTTAAATTGATTTTGTCCCCTTCCTCTTTCTAGAAAAATTTCTCGGGACGCCCATGCGTACCTATAAGTATACGTTTTCGTTATCGTGTTGWAATTTATTTATCTTACTAATTCATAATTTTTGGTTTGTATCGAATCGTTTGATCGCGGTTCCTATACCGTGGACGCTCATAGCAAACGTGCGATTACGTAATATATGCACAACAATATTATTTTGTGCGACGTTTGGTCAGGGAGTACCTATACTAAAAGAGACTTAAAACGTGTAAAAAAACAAAAGTAATATGTAGGCAATCACTCATCTACTCATCTACTCGACGAATATCGTCTGCCACTCGGAAAGGGCGAG